TTGGATCAGCATCTCTACATGGGGTACACCTCGACCTTACTGTTTTGGGGAGATTTCCCTTTCTGTTGGACTACATTTTGAAGCTACACTATATTGAGACTGTTCTTACCCTGTTGCTCTGCTGCAGAAGGCTGCCCTGTTTGTTTCCCATTTGGCTGCAGGTGTATTCCTTCATGGTTTAGGACTAATTTCTACTCTGAGACCTCAGTGGAACTTTCATTGCTGCCATCTGTTTTTAGGAAGCTCTTTGAGACTATTCCCACTTGTTTGCTTTTGCATCCTTAAGTGAACGTGACCTTTTTGGTGGCCACCCCAGCAGCTTAGGAGCATGACAGAGGTTCAGGAGTTTAAGGCAGACTTTCTCCTACAGGCTTAAAGAGTCACATTACCTGTTTCACTTGTCTTGTGATCTGCTTAAATCAAGAGATTAACCTTTTATGTATGCAGGGATGAAGTATTTTTCTATTCACTACATGTTAGTCTGCTTTATCTTTTTATCTGGACAAGGCAAAATTTTGCATTTAGACTTTGTCAGAATCTTTCCGTAGAATTTGTTACTTAATTTCCCCAAGATGTGCAGAGCAGCCATCTGGAGCCTCCTTTCCTGAGTACTTTGCCATCAGATGCTAGGAGGCACCATGTGCCATTTGGCAGAGATATTCCAGGGATATTCCTATCAAGCCTGTAACCTGTGTGCTTAGTGAGAGAGTGCTTAGAGCCACCCAGGGTATTAATATGTATGTATTGACAGTCACTTAAAGAGAAAGGAGGATTACTTGCCAGTAGATACTTGTTTCCTAGACAGATATTTCTTGTGCCTGTTCACAAACCGGCTACTTTCCCTCTATCTTCCTAATCCCATAATCATCTAACCCTGGGAACGCGGGGTGGAGAGAAACTAAAGGCGTGAGTGCTCCCGGCATCCATGTGCACGCTGTGGGTGTGGTGCATGGCAGAGGGTCATCAGCAAGCTGTCTCTGGATGCTGCTGTGGTTTAAAAAGTCCTTAGTGTAAATGATCTTATACGCACAGTGGAGTGAATGTGCATATGAACAACTCACCTCAAAAAAATCTTCAGCTGTGTTTCTTGGTTGACATGTCAAATTGAGGCTTATTCCCTCTGTATCCAGTAGGTTAGCTAGACATTAGAAATCTGGAAAATCAAAAATAATCTCTTTGAACAGTATACCTCTACAGCTTTATACTAGACAATAAGTAGATGATCATATGAGGACTGCCTTTTGGATTGTCTTTTAGTCACATTACAACAGAATTCTAAAATCAGTTAATTTTTGTGCAAAATATTTTACTTGGGGAAGTCAACATATACAACAAATGCAAATAGAAAACAACAACACACTTTCAGCGCTCCAGATATTTTTTTAATTAGGTGGGGAATGAAAATTTTGAAGTTGCGTATGACCAATACAAGTTTCCTGCAACACACGTGAGACATGAGGGTAGTAACTATTTGCTAGCACTGCTTCTCCTTTCATTTAAAACAGCATTCACTTTAACAATGTGTTTCTTTTAGCTTGTCTATAGACTTCTGAGCTCCCTGCAGTATGTGTTACGCTGCAAATGAAAATAGTGCTACAATGCAGTACCAAACCCCAGAATCCCTCTAGGATAGTCCTAAGGAGAGCAGTACAAGAACGACTATAGAGGAAAACAATTACTCTGTCCCATCTCCTTATATTTCGTAATGAAATGTAATCTGTTGCTGGTGCGAGTCTTAATAAAAGTAACAGAAAATCATCAGTGGTTTATAGGGATGCCAGTCATTATGCTTTCTAGAAGTATTGGGAAGTTACATTTTTATTCTGTGCTGTTTGTTATGCTGCTCACATCACCGTCGTGACTGTGTGCCTGCCAGTAGTACAGTAAATGGCATAACTATCTTTCACATGTGGCTTGTTCTTTCATCCTCTGCCAAGGGGAAAGTGGTATGTGTAATGTTCTGGTGGGGGTTTTGTTTGGTTTTAAGGGATGTGTCACAATATGTTTGTGTTACAAAAGGCAAGTGGGTTGAAGGGCAGGGTGATTTTTGGAGATCCTCTGGGAACTGGAAGGCTGATTGTGCAGATAGGTAGTGCCAGAGTGATTACTATCATGAGCAGTCTTTCTCGGTGGAGTTAGGGCAAGTAATGTTTCCAGAATCTGGCACAAGAGCAGCTGGTGCTTCTGCTGTAGTAATACTTCTACCTCTCCTCTTGTCACTCCTACCCCTGTGGCTTTATTACTTAACCGTGCAAAATTATTGTGTGTTTGACCCTTGGAGTGCCAAACTGCAAGCATTTTTTTTTTTTTTTTTAATATCAGTGTAGAGAACTGCAATTAAAAAATTAGTTCCAGTAGAGACTGGAGTCTTGTGTGTTCAGCTGTGATTAATGATTAGGGGGAAGCAAGGGTATCTGTGTTGACTCCTTAGTGTAAAATCAGCTTGAAGAGGGAAATAAGCCCCTTTTAAGCTGTTGTATGCTCAGCCCCCCAAAAATGCACTTCCCAACACCATAGGTCCATTAGAAAATATGAGTGTCCTTGTTACAGAGAAGGTAACAGTGGCTGCAGCTTTAAGAGCAGTGTTGTTGAGTCACTGTCCTAGCAATTTAATTTGTTATAGAGAGGCTCATGAAGTGATGACCAACACTTGACATAAAAGCTAGTCCTAAAGGGTTTCAGAGACCCCATGGGAGATAGCCTGGTTGGGTTCAGGTGGGGACCCTCCCTGCTGTGGGGACATTGAAGGAAGCGGGGGGGGGAGGCGGAATAGTATCTTGGATGACAGGAGAAGAGAGAATGAGCAGCTAAGTTAAGTGGGTTCTAGTTGAGCCCCTACAAAATTCTGCCTGTAAAAGTTTCTTGAAAATGATACTTTTAGAAGCTCTTTTAATTTTAGCCTGTGTGTAGGGTTTTGTGAAATCTTTTAATTAACAATAAGCCAGAGGTCTCTGAGCGCTGTTCTGCAATGCTCTGCGTCTAAGGCCAAACCTGTAGTTACTGTTGAGCCAATGAACAAGAGAAAGAATTTTGTCCTAGTTAGGGTTACAGCACTTGATCCATAGTGTTGAAATAGAAAGAATTGCAAAAACCATTTGCATTGCCCCTTAAAATTCATCAGATTTAAACAAGCATTTAATGCATCATTTCCAGGAGACACTTAAAAGCAAATTAAAAATAAAAACTTACAGTATAGTTTTAAGAGATTGTTTCCCTGAATGTTTTTAATTCAGGAAATATTACTGGCATTCCTTCTAGTAATATTTGTTTGAATACTGCTTGTGAGTTATCAGCAAGTTTTGCTCAGGTATGATAATGTGTATTTATCAACAGATTCATGTGCAGGTGCAGTGCTCGATCATATGGAGTTGCAGAAGCAGGTATTGGTAGTTGTGTACTCTCGATGATAAAATATTTTAAGATTTGAGCAAAGTTTAAAGTAGCAAAAATTTTGGTTAAAATGTCATCAATAAGTTGCACAATTTGAACAAGACATACATCGGTCATTTTTTTGCATTTCATTGGGTTACTTCTGCTTTTTATATGAAACTATCTTTTGAGGGCAGATCTCAAAAGCGTTTCTGCTTGGCCTAGTTCATCAAAACACTAACGTGTGGGTAACATTTGAGTAGTATTCTGTCGACATGAGCTTCAAGTCACGGATATCTATGCAGTAAGAGTGGGATTTGGCTTACCTGATTTTAGACATTAACAGTTTGAACATATACCTGTAAGCTTTGACTGTAAAGGGGTCTAGCTCAGCTGCAGATACCCACACTGAGGACATCTCAGGGCAAGCAGGGTGAAACTTTTGCTTGCCGTGACTACCTGCACTGGACACTGGGGTGATGTAAGTAAGCCAATGTAGAATCTCTTTTCCAGTTTCAGCTTAAAATAAATGAAAAAAATACATTTAAAATGTTGGGCTCTGCTCTGATGTATTTCATCTATAATACTGTCAAAGGATTCTTGCTTGATTTGATCTTTTTTTTTTAAAGAATTTCTGCCTTGAATGATTTCTTTTCCCTTGTCAGTTAAACTGTAGACCTTCAATATTATTTTATTGTGGCTTTCTCTGAAACATCTTTCTTATAAGGATGGGGGCTTATGAACAAATCACCACACGTAAACTAGGGTGTGAGCTTAATACGCATCACCTACTGTGCAGTAACTACCCTTTCTCCCAGGATAAGTGCTCAGTAGTTTATTCCCTTTTATTAAGGGATAAGCATGTTGTATTTACTCTGGTGTAGAAGCAAACACACTACAGCTGACATAATGCAGATACACACCCTGATTTATCCTGCAGTAGTTTGTCTATATGTCCATCTCCTAAGACACAGCTGAAATGTTGCTTTAGGACATTCAGGTGAGGCTTAACCAGTTTAAACAGTTACAGAACCTCTTTTTTAGATTTAGCTAAGACTATTATTGCAACCCTGATTAATTAGTTCTTTTTAGAACGCATTTTGATAGTGTAAAGACTGACCATTAAGCATAATAATAACTTCTTGTGATCTTACTTCACCTTTGTCTCATCCCATTTCAGTGCAGTGTCTGGTTTACACGTCTTCTCAGTCTCCTTTTTTACTCCAGTTTTTGACTTGAAACAGTATCAACTGCGTTCTGAAATTGAAGTTAAATATAAGAACTTATGAGATACATAAGAGATAGATGGGTACTGTATATGCCGGTTCTTTAATGCTAAGATGGACCAGGTTGCTCAGGGAATAAGAAACCGCAAACCTCACCTGGAATTAAAGGAATTTTTAAAAATAATTTTCTGAATAATCACCATAGGGAAATCCCACAGACACAAGCACTGCGTGTAGTCGTAAGTGTGTCTACCAGTTAAAACCTGCAGTATTGTCTGGCAAAATACACTTTTATTTTGTTTCACCCAGCTGAACTCATCCTCAATCTCAGAGGAGTGATTTATCTCCTGAGGGTCCACATTGGGCTTAAGTAAGTTTTTGATTAATTTATTCTGTGATTCCAGCCAAACCCATTTGATTTCTACTTTCTGACCATAGAGAAATGATCCATCACTTCAGAAGGAGACCCTTAGAAATAGTGTGGAAGATAATATGATAACGTAGTCTTTGAGGTTCAAATGTGAAGAACGAAGAAGAGCACTAGAAATGTGAGGTTTGTCGTGAAATGAAATCTTTCCAGTCCCTGGTAGGTTTCAATTGTTCGGAGAAGGACTAAAGCCTTTCCTGCTCCAAGCCTTTGCCCTGGTCTAGTGACTGGTGACTACTCCAGTGCATAGATACGTGAAGCTGCTACCTGCATCTGGGGACCATGTTCCTGTCCAGCTGGGAGTGGCTCTTGTTCAAACTGTAGATTATAGTCAGTCACACTACGTGGGGTAGGGCTTTCTATCACCTTGGGCTGTGCTAATGACTGGAGACAGGGTGAACTGGAAGTTTACTGGCAGAGTAGAGAACACTTACGTTTTCTAGCAATTCACCAGGATTAGCAACTTCAGTACAGCATCCATCCAAAACCAAGTAACGACAGTGCTGTTTCTTTTGCGGCCCCTTCCCTTTGTTAGTTATGTGACTAGTGGTTTTGTCTTCCCAAATATTTGTTTAGTGACAAACACACTTGGAACGCCATCTTTTTATTTTTTAGAGCCTTGCTACAAATAACTTTTTTTTCTTTTAAAGCTAAAAGGTATGCTTTGTTCAATTTAGTAACCAGACATCTGAAAAGGAAACACCTTGCGTTAAGAATAATGTGGGAGTGGTTATTGAAAATTAGGTTTTAATGACACTACATTGAAGTTCTTATTTGCATAGATTTTGAAAGTACATCAAATCCAATATTGAACTGAGCTTCTGATCATTTGATGCTGCAGGAAGAGTAAAATTAACATTACTAAGTGTCTTTGTAAGAAATGTTGTATTGCTGTATGGGGATTTGTATTATTCAATATCCAGCAGCTATTCACTTTTGTGTAATGTTCTTTCTGTAGTGTCTGTTACTCTAAAGAACTGCATGCAGCTCCAGATTGCTAATAACTTTTTGTTGTACAGCCCAAATAATAGATGAGTAATTTGATTATCTGTCTCTTTAGGATTAATTTAAATTCATTTTTACTGTGAGACTATGTATTGTTACCAAGAGCAGTTAGCAGTGAAAATATGTATGTTTCGAAATGTAATTACTGGTCATACCTAATAACTGATTTTTAGTTCAGTCATTTTAAGAAATGAAAAGACCACCTACTTACTATCACCATTTTTAATACCCGGTAAAGTAATTTTATTATAAAATACAGGATATCTTTTTTCTTTATTAAAAGCTCAAATAAATAATTAAGAACATTTTGTTAGGTTACAAATTGGCTAATAGCTTGGGAAAATGTTTTAAAATCTGTTGCAATACCATTTATATGATAAATAAGAAAACTAATAACTAATTAGGTTGAAAGAGCTTTAGTGAGAAAATGAAAGTGAGAGTATTCAATATACTCTAGATGAAATGACCTTTTGAAAGTCCTATTTTTGAATAAACAAGGTCACTCTGTAAATAAATAAAGCGTGAAAATTCATCTAAGGCTAGGAATTTATGTATTGAGAGTTAAGAAGCAGACCTTTTCATAAGCCTTCAAAATATAAAGATCTGATAAAATGGTTTCAAATTTTTTGTATGTTAAATCTGTTTAATGATTTTTTTGTTATTTGGTAGAACTGGACACCGAAATAGCTTCATCTTCAAAGCCAGAAGAAAGTTTCTATGCTGACAATTACAATCCCTTCAAGGATGAAGATGCCCCAGAGTACTTGAACCCATTTGAAGAGCCAGATCCTGAGCCTGAAACACTTGTAACTGTAAGAGATTCTCCTCCGCAACCTGCAAAAAGGAAAAATGTCAGACCAGTGGATATGAGCAAATACCTCTATGCAGATACCTCTAAAGCTGAAGAGGAAGAGCTAGATGAGTAAGTATGATTCTTCATCTTTCAGCAGCTTTGGAAGCATTAGTGGGATCCTTGGCTTAATCTTGATGTGTATTGGGTTCAACCGTGGTGATCCTTAATCACCTCCTCAGGGCAGACTGATCCTTAGGTAGCTCAGCAGCAGGAAATACCATACCCCCAAGTCACGCTATTCAGCATGATCATGATCAGTTAGGAAACTTTTCTTTGCCTCATTGATAGCAAATTACTTGATAGGGAACAAGTCTGTGTACCTTTTTGGCACTTCATGCCCTGACAATTGCAAATGAGCCAAAAATTAAGGAGCAACAGAGCTTGGTCCTTCCTGTCCTTTTTGCCATTATTTTTACTACATAAAATAATAATTTTTGTTAATGATAATGGAGAGTTTGTTTTGTATTGGTGCAGTGTGTAAAAAGGAAGAGCATTTTGCAGTCTGCATAGCACATTTTTGAGAGTCTCATAAAACTGAATCTCTATATGAGAAAGATAACACCATATGCACTTTCTTAGGTTGTTTCTTTTATCATAACCACACATAAAACTTTTATAAACTCACACTGACTGCCTTGTATTATAGTATAGAAACCTAACAAGGAGTGAGATCTTTTTGCAATAGCTGTGCAGCTGGGGAGGTTTGAAGGTATATACTTACTCCTTGTTTGTGGTCATTAGTCACCAACCACACCACTCATGAGACAGTTTATGGTGATTACATGCAAGCAATTTTACAGACAACAACTGTAATTAACATGTAGTTTTACATTATTTAATGAGATTTATCATGGTATGGCATTTGCATTGCTTTCATATTTAATATTAATACAGGTGTCATATTATCATCTTTATGTTTCTCTGCTTATAGTTGCGTTCTAGGAAATAGAAGGATTCCCATGCACTCTAATAGAAATGTATAAAGGACCCTGCAGGGTTTTTTTCCTCTTAAAACTCTGTGGCCGTGGGTTTGTTGTTGTTTGTTCTGTGAAAAAAAAGGGCATTGGGGAACGATGTCTCTGCCAGCTCCATTCATCAGGGCACTGCCTGAACAAATAGCACTGGCTGCTGTGTCTTCAGAGCACAGTGTGATCACACTGTTGATGGTCACACCAGGCATCCCTGATCATTCACTGATCACCAGAATCCGCAGAGAGAAAAAATATGTATACTTTGCACCCGCAAAGATATGGGTATAGAGGACAGCAAAGACTGAGGAGAAGAGCAGAAAGAGCAAAAGCTATATGGATGGGCAAGTGAAGAATTTTCTCTGTTTTATATTTATACTCACATGTCCACCCTAAGCAAATCTGTGCCAAATGGGCTTGCAGCAGCATTGTAACAGGCAGCCTTGTTTTTTCTGTGTACTGGACTGTAGATTTCTCTAGCCCTTTGTTTACAACACCTTTCTTATTTTAATGACCCCATTTGCTTTATTCCTTTTTTTTTTCCCCAAGGATAAAAATAAACTCCCCATAGGTGGATTCTACTTGAACATAAATATGATCTGTGTTTTCTTTATAAAAGCAATGTCCCATGGAAAGATGGAAGGATAAGGAGTGAAAAAGCACTGTAAAACAGGTTTTTATGTCTTCTGCATAATTTTTTTATGTCCTGACCCCCAAAGTAGCTTCCTTTCCACATTTTCCTCCCAGGTTACAGGAGTGCCATGTCATTGAAAAAGACGTGGAGACCATTTGTTAAATGTATTGGGTAGAAGTGTGGTAAGGAGAACCTTTGAATCTTTATACTGAAATGCTCTGGAGGAATCAGTGTAATAATAAAACTCCAGTCTAGGAACACAGGACTTGTGATACTAACTCACACCTACAAGCACTATTATGCCTTACCTCATGTAATTTTCAAATTTACCTCATTAATTTTCAAATTTTTCAGTAGAAAGTTTCTGCTAAGGTATGGTACAGTGAGCACCAAAGGAAAGATTTTCATAGGCAGTGCCAGTTGGTAGTTTTTGTGTGCCCTAAATCATGAGGGTTTATGTCCAGGTGTGTATTGTTTCTTATCTAATGTGAATATTGATGCTTTTATTATCTACGTAAGTGGCTAATCTTCTTCCAAATCCTATTTAAGTCTAGGCTTCAGTGTCAATTTGTTGCAGAGTTCCACAAAAAAAAAAGATCTTATATGAAATGTGTTTCCTTTTATTGATTGTAAATAAGTTACCTTTCCAATCCCATACACTATCTCTTCTGCTGGCTTATCAAAACAACAATTAGTAGTATTGGATTTATCTGCCATAAACAATTGCTGTGTTGTATATCTCTAGCATGTTCACCATTACTTGTCACTTGTCCGAATTAAATGGTGCTAACTTTTTCAATCTCTCTTCATACAGAAGTCTCTTCATCTCTCTAATCATTTTCACTGCACGTCTCTGGACCCTGTTATTTCTTCTGCTATGTATCTATTTTAAGATGCGTTGACTTGGCCTGAGCAGTGTACTCAAGACAAGGCTGAACAACTGAGTCATATCACAGCATTAGAAAACTTTGCATATTATTTTCAACCTCTCTCCTAACATCTTGTCTTTTGATATTTTTTGTTTGTTTGTTTGTTTTGGGTAGTTTTTAATTATTTTTGACTACTGCTAGTCTAGTGCTTTCCCCAGGAGTGGTTTTGAACCTGACAGATGGAAGGCATGAGAAATAGAAGGCTCCTGAAAGATATTTACTGTCACTCAGGAAATATAATGTATTTTTATCCCTGTGTCTTAAATGTTTCATTGGACTTCACTTAATGCACCACTTGGCATTTTCCTCTTGTATTTTGCGTGAAATGTGATGGTGTGTCGTGGGAACATGGACAGTTAGCATCAGGACCTTTGTCCCACTCTACTCTGGCAAATCCCTAGTTCTGATTCTGGACTCAGACCTTATACAAAGTGCCCCAAGAGCTGAAGTCTGACTCCAGTTTTGTAACTGATTCTCATTGTAATCTTGGGAAAGGTACTTACCCTCACTGCGCCTCTGTGAAGGATTTACCTTGGGTAATTGGCTTCATTGAAACATATTTCACTAATGGTTGTGAAGATAACGTAAGATTTCACAACACATGTAAGCAAAGCATAGTCACAAGCATAAGCATAATGAGGTGTTGCATGGTACAGGGGGACTTAGATGATCCAGTACATATATTCTGCTGTAAAACTACGCTCTGAAAACATACTTCCTCTGGCTAAATTCTTGTACCTAGCTAGAGATAGGCAACACATTTTCCTTTTGTTAGTTTGGGCATTTGGATGTTAGTGGAAAATTCTGCTTTTGCCTTTTTGAATTTTATACATTAAAATCAAAATGGTAGATGGCTACCTGTTAATAAAGGAAGCACACCTTGCTAAGTTAAGTTTAAATATTTGAAAACGGTATAGCTCACAACTACTTAAAGTATAATGCTTTCAACCCTTAGTACTTCTGATGGGTAATATTGCCTGATCTTTTAACCCTACCACACTGAGAGCTTTGTCTCTCCTCCTCAATAAAATGTTGATTTTTTTCAGTTAACCAATAACGCTGATCAAAATAATTTTTAAATTGGTCAGAACAAAACCTGCTTTCAGATATTATTTGGCTCTGTGGCTTCTTATCTTGTTAGTCATTGCATGGCTTAGAATAATGCTGTCTAATTGGAAAGACTGTTGAATTGCCATCTATTGAAGCTGCTTGTTGCACAAGAAGCCACAAGCCACTACACTGCCAGCGACAGCTTAATGCCAGATAGTTTGTCAGGTTTGTTTTTTCTAGTTTTGTGGTGGACAGTCTCATATCTCTTTAGGCAAATCATAGTGTGTGGATCAATTAAATAACTTCACAGAAGCAAAAAGTGTGGGAGCTGACCTCAGAGAAAAGTGCTTTAGTATTTTTCAGTGAAGGCTTTTTTCAGCCAGACTTTTCCCATGCTTAGTTTCTTGTATAGCCATGTGGAAGCTGTTGGACGAAACTCTGCTGCATATATCAGACCCCCATGACTTCAGCACTTATAGCTTCTTCAGGCAAGAACCATTTTGGGGGTTTTTCCTGTATTAAACTTAATTTTTCAAAAATCTTTCTCAATATTTGTAAGACCAATTAAAGGCAGTGCAGAGGGGAGGGTGGAAAGTAGTGTGTGTGTGTTCTGCTCGTACTATGACCAAAATGTGAGCATTTAGTCTGGCTTTCAAGCAAGTTCTTCTCTAGGAAAAGGCAGTCACTTGTCTCCTCCCTACTGCTCTTCCTTCTGGTGTGTGCAGTAGGGTACAATTCTTCAAGATAACGCATGTAACACAGACAATTCTGGAGCATAAAAATTCAAAAGGTGGTTCTTCCAAACTTTCTTACTCTCATTGATAAGGTGTTTTTTTTTTTTTTCCTCTTGCACCAAATTAATTTTAACACCTTACGAATACACCTTTCTAATTCCAAGTACACAGAGGTAAATTACTTTCCTGCCAAACATGCTGTGTCTGTTGGCTGTTCAGAAGGCTAACTTATTGAACTAAAGAAAACCTTATGCTTTCCTGTAGAACGCATTGTTCTTCAGCCTTTACTTCTTTTATCTTCATTTTCACCTCCCTTTTAACTTCCCAGTGTCTGAAGACAGCTGAGCTGGGCTGTCAGCTAAATTAGAGCTACTGACAGCTAGGTGCATTCTCCACTCCAGCCTGAATACCCTCCTTTTTCTACTGCCTCCCATGGAAAACACCCATCCATTTCTATTTAACCCGTTATTTTGATGTTGCCTTTAGTTTTGATTGCACTGGTGGCCTTGCGCTTGATGGGCAGCAAAGTGGGAACACCTGAAAGTTGCCTTCAATAAGCACATGAGTTATTTTAGTGTTAGTCTTTCGTTTCAGTATCTGGATTTAGATCTTGTTCTCTATAACAAGCAGCGGCAGATTCTTAGAAAGGTCTGGAGGCTTTATGTCCGATCTTCACTTATGTGCTTCAGTAAACTTTGCCTTTCAGAAGTAGACTTATTTTCTGCAGTGTGGATTATTAATTGCTTGCTTTTTCTCAGTGAAAAGAGGATGGTGATAAACTGCATTAAAATAAATTCTGAAATCAGTCCAAGAGATTGAAAGACATATTTTCATACTAAAAGTACACAAAGCTGAGAGAAATTTGGTGTGGTGTGAAAGCAAACTGGATGAATAGTTGGTTTTTCACTTGTGCCCAAATTTTGCCGTTGTAGTTTAAAAACAGTGTGTACTAGCTCATGACTCTTATCCTGAGAGGATATTTGTAAGTGGATCTAGCTAAGTAGGCTCTTGTCTAATGCTGTATGCATTATTGTTTCCACCTAGAGTTGAATTGCAGGGACTGAGGTTATTTGTCGTGATTAGTTACGCTTTATATAACTGTATGCAGATAGATCTTTGGAATTGCAGTGACTTAGTTACATAAACATAGTTGGAGATATATGCTAAATATATCTTGCAGGAGAAGTATGGACTAGAAAGGAATTAATTAACATGTCAGTTTTGTAATTAACTGTCCAGTTTTAGATTGCAAAATATGAAAAGCAAAGATTATGAATAAAGTAATTCAGTGCAAAGAAGGTTCCCGTAAGTATCCTAAGCAGGATACAAAATTGCTGGCTCTTCTAAGTGCACAGTAGAAGCCATTATTTAATGTATTACTGATCAATATTTGATATATCAGACTAATAGATAAAATTTGGAAATGCTGTGGAAGTCTTTACTTAGGGTGGAACAAATGCAGAGTTGGAACATGAATGCCAGAGTTAAGAAGAATAATTCTTTGGACTGCATCCACTTGGTGGAAGATGTTTACTGTGTTTCTTAAACAAGGTTTTGTTATAAAAAGTACTTTCAAAATAGACAGATGATGTCTACTGGTATCTGTAGAGAGGTATACACAAGTCAGCTGTGGTTTTCTTACACTATTCTCTTATCCAAAGAGTGTTCTTGAAACGGTGTGGTGCCTGTATGCTGCAGAGCTTAAAATACACTCGAGGTGGATTGTGTACCTACGGAGGCCAAAATTTTCAGACTTGGACAGCCAAGAGTGAGGCCTCTAAAGCCATGTTGAAGCATGCATGTAAAAGTGGTCTGATTCTTAACTCTGTTCTAATGAAGCATTCTTAATTCTGTTCATTAGAATATTAAACAGCCAGGAACTTCACTCAAATTTGTTGGTATTGAGCTTGTACGTAAATCAGGTCACTCTTTGGTAGATAGGTAAGTATAATTGAAGAGTTAGCTTTATGCGATTGATAAAACTTCTGTAATTTACAGGACTTTAAAATTTATGGAAATTTTGACCTAATGCAGTTTCAATTGCTGTAACTCACTTTTCAATCGTATGAAAAAGTAGCATCTAAAAGCATGTAAAGGCAAAACATATTCTTACATGGGATAATAAAAGCATTTTAGTCATTGGCTTCTCTAAACAGGTCTTATTTTTGGTTTTAATTCCAAGGAGATGGCAAAGAAATATGTTTCCCTTCTCTTAATTAGATCAAATCCATTTTATGAACCAAAATCAAGCCCTGCTTTAACTAAAGTTGCTCCACTGCAAGAACCAGAAAAGAAGATGAAAAGAAAGGCTCCTGAACCACCAAACCTCTTGCCAAAGACAGAGACAGGCATGAGTGAGAACATGTCAACTATTCCTGCATCGAGGGAGCTTTCTTCTTCTCCTAAGGTAGGTTTTTCATACCAAAATTTCGTCTCTGTTATTAACGGTAGCTTTATGTGTATTGTAGACATCCTATTTATTTCTGCAGGCCATCTTAAAAGCTTTGCTTATACTTAATAACGTGTTGGCTCATCTATTCACTTGCTGGTTCATAGGGAGAGAGCAGCAGTAGGAGCTTGTATTTTTTCTTTAAGGATTTAATGACAACAGTAACAGCAACTGCAGTTTCAAAGAATCATCTAGTAACAAATTATAGAATTATAAAATCATTTAGGTAGGAAAAGACCTTTAAGATCATCGAGTCTAACTGTAATTGAATAAATTGTCCAACTCTGATGAGAATACCGATTTTAGGTTTTAATTCTTATTCTAATGTAGTCACTTTCATTTGCAATTCCACATTTCATGTTACGATTCAATTAAATGTTACAGGACAGCTGGATATGCCATTGAGAAGGGAGAAAATCATGTTGAACAATACTTTGTCTTGATCTCTTGTAATGCCGCTAAGCCTTGCCCCTGTTGAAGAGTCTGTCTCCACATTTCTGTCATAAATCTGGGTTTTAAGAGCTTAGTACTGGATACTGTTTATTTGTGTTGGGATTTATATATGTCCAATTCCATAGGTATGGTGAAGTAATTAAAAAAAAAAGACAGTCTACTTTAAATCAGATTAACTGTTCATTAGGAACGTCCAGACTAAGCATACTTATATATGCACATACATCTGTGTTTGTCAAGGGGAAAAAAATATGAGTTAACTTCTGTTGAAAAGGGCAGTGTGTGGCGCAGGTATTTTAGGATTACAACAGCTAACTTCTGTTGGTGGAAATTTCAATTCCAGTGTTTCAGCAGTTCGCACCACTTGTGCTTTTTTAAACAAAATAAGCATTTAATAGTATATGTTAATGGGCCCTTCTTAAAAATGAATTTGATACATGCTGACTGCTTGTTTTGAAAGGTAGGAAGATGAGGACAGAAGGCTTCCCTTCCAGCACATCTCTCCAAATTTATGCATATTATCATCTGTTTTGCCTTGTATTGGAGCTGCTGTACTTTAAATTAAGAATTGAATGAAACTATTTGTCATACCTATCATTTCACTCAGCCAGATTGCTGACATGTCCTTGTCCCCTCGGGCTCTGATCTTGCTGTCGTTTTACCACTCAGTCAGCGTAAAGAGTATGAGACCAGAAATCTAATCTGCGGCTGCTCATAGCAAAACAAAACAACATAGTAAGGCCACAAGCACAATTCACAAGTTACTCTTAATATGCAAAACCACAACCAGGGAAATATTAAATCAGAGCGTAGCAGTTTTATAATGCGCTGAGATGGGGTTCGATCCTGTTCGCTGGAGTTTCTGTATGAAAAATATTGCACATTATTTGATTTCTGGTGGAGTCTGGCCCTTGGGTCAAAGCAAAGTGGCCAAAGTAAAGCATTCTGGTACTACCAGGCAGAGAAGAGACATGTGTGGAGGAGATTTTATCAGCTCGCTTGATGGAGGTTGTGCCCCCATTGCTCATTGTTTGAGAGGTTTTTTTTACAGGTCTGCATCCAAGGAAATACATCTCTCTGCTTTATTGTTGTGCTGAAATAATGTATTACTGCTGGGTTCGACTGTCGTCGTTTTTGTCTACCCCAGACTAAGTTTTAGGTTGTCTGAAAGCTGGAATTGATTAAGAAAAGATGCAGGATTGAAATCGCTGAGAAGACCATATTGTTATAAACACGGTCAGGTATTCCCTACTCTTATGCAGGGTATTAGTTCCCAAATATTTTGGTGCCTGCCTGCTTGCAACCCACCTCTCTGCCACTGATGCTGAGGCACAGCTGAGATCAGCAAAGGTCCAAGTACTGAAACTGATATTCGTTAGGGCCATGGGGAAAACGGAGCACTATGCTGACCTTCTGTGGTACAGAAAGCTTTAATTTTTTACAGGATTTTGGAGGATACGAGACCATTAGGGAAGGCTCCAAAGCAGATGCAGTGTCCTGGTTTATTTTATTACAGCTAGAGTAGAAAGTTTCACTGACTGAGTGTGTTAAAATATTGTACGGTCACTTGCAATTCAGAAAGCTTTCTGTAAGCACAGTCTTTTTTCTGTGCTTGAATTGTTTTGCTCTAAGGTGATCTAATAACATTAGATCAAAAGCATATTACTTGGAATGCTTTTTGAAATTCAGAAAAGTACTGGCATTTAAAAGAAAAGAAAATTAAACAATTTTCTCACACCATAGTACAAAATAGTGCCCAGATAGGACTTGGACTGTTGGCACAAATAACTTGTTTATTACTCAATAATAGTGACAATGTTTAGTAACTCTGGAAAAACTCCCATCAAAAAGTATAGGCACTATATGAACGTGAACTTAGCACATGCCCTTATGTAGGGGGAATAGTCCCATGGAGGTAAACTTAGATAAAGGGAGGTTAAATAACGTGTCTTATTCAGTGTTTTGTCCAAGTTTGCTGTGCACAGAAAGCCTCTGCTACAACTCTGACCAGAACCTAAGTGTCCCGACATGTTTAATTCCCTGTCTTGGTTGTCTTCATAGGAAATGGCTGTGGAGCAGAAATGCTAATCTTTAGACTACACAAACACAGCATTAATATTAGAACTTTAGAGTTTAAGGAAAAAGACTCCAAAAATACTTCTGCAAATCTTTGACAGAGTATTTGGAGCTCATTTTTCCTTCACATGCTCATGTTCATCACATTTGCTGAACACAAAAAATAGAAATGCTGTTATTAACATATATAAATCAGCAAGTTTATTAGGTGGAAATTGCTCCTGAAAGATTATTTGACACATGACAGATTCCTACTCAAGATACAGGTTCCAAATACTTGAAATTATGTTACCCTATTAAAAAAAAAAAAATTAAATTTTGAAAACAGTAGTGAAGTTCCTAGGAATTTAAATACCAATTTAAAACTAGGGCAAGAAATGTTGATACTTTCTTAAGTATACACCCAAAAATCAAATCCCTAGGGTACGGCTGGACACCAAAATTGCTTCATTCAGTGTTCAGCTGCAATGAGCCTTCTAGCATTGGCATCCAGGGTATAGGAACACTTCCACAGAAGTGCAATTGTGTTTGCTGTTGAAACATCATAGCCTGAATCCAACATTTTACCATTACCCAAGTAGTGGTGGAAGGTGTTTCTTGCCTGAAGGATATCTGACTTCGCACACGTGATTTTTTTTTTTGGTGTGTGTATGTTTTCTTAATTTATAACAGCAGTGTCTGTGGTAATGAAAGAGAAGAATAAAACAAAGAATTTTTAGCAGTCAGCAATCTTGCACATGTCTCATTTGAGAATAGACTTAAGCTAATGTATCTTAAGTGAATTGCAAAAGGCCTTCTTTTAAGGGAGTTGTATGGTCTTTTAACAGCTGAGTACTATTTCTAGATTTTCTAGAATTAATTACCCCTATTACTCCTGACATCACAAAAATCAAACTCCTCCTAGTTCCTTTGTTCAGAGGTATATGTTGTACAAGATAATTCTCTGTAAAAGTTTCATGTAAAATAGAAAATTCTAGAAAGCATCTTCTGATCTGGTGGTATCTAGCATCATGCCTGATGTCCCCAGGATAAAGAGGGTACTCCAGGGTGCAGTCATGAGTTGATATTAACTTTCAAGAACTCAATGATCAGTGAAGATAGAATATGAGACTAATAAATAGGCGTTAGCTTTAATAGCCATGAAAATGGTAGAACTAGTGTTTGAAGCAAAGACTGGATCTCGTGGGGAGACTGACATAACAACTTACTGCCCAGACAATTATAGATGATCGTTGGTCAGAAAGACAAGTGATGATACCAAATACGGACAGTATTTAACTTTTGTTTTTGCCTTGAAATGATTGTTCTCAACCGTATGGTGTACATGTGCCTGTAGCAGTTATAACCATAACAGTGTCTCCCACTACTGCAGGGGCTTGCCTTTAGCCTCTTTCCTCCCCAAAGACATTGTCTCACATGGTGTCCCTTTACCATTCCTTAACAAATTTCAGATGTGAGAAAAGAGTGCAAGTGAGGCTGTTTCTGCCTGCCCCAAATCTGAGGGTTTTAGTCTACGTGAGGTTGGCTGAGTTCATGAGCACTAGTGATTTAGTCTTGCCCCTTCCATATTAATTCTGCACAGGGGACACATCCACTTCTTTAGCTGCTGTAAGATCATCCCAGCTGCTGTATTCTCTTTGGCCATTTCAAAAATACCTCTCTCTGCGCATTGTTCACGGTGTGGTTGAGGTGGGAAGGGACCTCTGGAGGTCATCTGGTCCAACCCCCTTGCTCAAGCAGGGCCACTTAGAGCCAGTTGCCGAGGACTGTGTCCAGACAGCTTCTGAATGTCTCCAATATTCATCCGATCTTTTTCAAATGTTTGCCTTGCATTGCTTCCCTGAGCAATCAGTTAACTGTAGTAGCAAACCCTTTCCAAGCCTCTTTAATGTCTTCCTTTTGAGCAGGCCCTTTTGATCACTCAGAGATCCCCATGTCACCTGTATTGGTGAGGAATGGGCAGTTATATGTCATAGATAAGGCAGGGTCTAGCTCTCCATAAAGGCCCAGCCAGCTCTTGGCCCCATAGTATTAGCTCAGTATTTGCCATATCTGGGTTTGGAGGAAGTTTTGTTTCCAAATACTGTTACCTACTTGCACTTCCTAAAGGTGTGTCTTAATTCTCTCCTGTCTTCCTTCCATGTCTCCTCTAAACTAATCTGAGTCACCAGAGATAGCTTAAAAATGCAAAGTCGGAAAGCCTGGAATTATCCCACAGTTAATGTCTCAAATGGCTTGAAGACTATGGTGTGCTGGCTATATTTAGGTGAGTCTGACAAACAAACTGCAAAGCTATAATTAAGCTTTTCGGTCATCAACCTGCTACAGTGCTGTCAAGCCCAGCTGAAGCCTTGTTGGGCTTGTTACCATCATACATGTGTTACTGTTCTTGACATGGTTTGGATAACCAGGTTCTGCCTTTCACAGAG